ATATCACAGCTCATCAGTGTGACTCGACATCTGATTGCTTCAAGCCAGTATTGAAACTCAATTTGCCATTAGTCAGAGACTCTACCCCTAAGCTATCAATTGCTTCATTCCAGTGTCATATATATATATTCTAATAATATTTTTATTATAAAATATTTTACATTGCTACACAAAAATTTCTATATTTTGGAACTTAAAAATTGTTCCATCATCATGTGATGTTGGATAACATGAGGAAAACGATTAACTTAGGAAATCAGAAAACAATTCAGTAGCTTGTATATATATATATATATATATATATATATATATATATATATATACAAAAGGAAAACTTTACTTCACCAACGTAATTGGTTCTCTGATGGACTTTATCAAGGCAAATGTACGGATTTTATTTTGCAATATGTATTTATAAACAGAAGATTTATATACTGTTATGTTTTCAAAATTTAAGAATACTCAAAAATATTCATAAGTCTGTGAAAAACAAGTTAAGCTATGAAGAATGCTAAGTGGTGTGATTTAATGTCTAATAAAGGAAAAAGGTTATGTATAAAACAAGTAATAATTATTTGGGTAGGGTCTTTTCAAAGGTCATGGTGAATTTGGTTTAGTCACTATTACATTTCTCAATGTGTAGGTTAGAGATGCAGAGATAACTCACAATTGAGTCATTACCTCAAAGACAGTCTTGTTTGGCAATGGATGTTCCATATCATTGTTGATATGCCAAAAACCTTTAGTAATTTTATTATCATCATCATCATCTCTCTCCTACCCACACCTGCATTCTTTTTATCTTCCTCCTCTCGTACATACTTTTCATTTCTGTCACTCTTACATGCACACCTGTTTCCACTTTTCTCAAATCAGTGACAGGTATACTTAAGAGGGTTATTCATTTTAATCATGTAAATGAAACAAATAATAAGTAAGCAGCCCTTTTTTTCTGTTGCATAAACATACCTTTGTTTTTTATTACTTACTTTAACTGTCATCACTTTTTCTTTCTTTTTTTTGTTTTGTTTTTGGCTTCTGTCTTAAACTAACTCCTCTTGTAAATCTATATAGCAAAAAAAAACCTGATTATCTGTCCGTAACACACTGTCTGCATATGAATTTGCATGTGTGTATGTAATGTTTATATGCTTTTCTGTGCGTGAATGGCTTACATGTGCTTGTGCCATTTAATGTGCACACAGTTTGACTGAGCTTGAAACAAAATATTAAAATAATACATTGCCTTCCCAATCAATATGGACAACCCCTATGCTGTGCTGAGCAATAAAATCATCAAGTTGGAGGCAAGAAAAAAAAATTATTTAACCCATGGCTGGGGGAGATGTATTTATATCTTTCCCTGAGGGTATTTTCATATAAGTGAATAAGTGAACAGACACAGCTGGAATTTAAACTCAGTTCTCTGATTTCTTATTCCGAGTTACTACCCTGTAAAGTGAAACACATTTTCAAAGACAAAATTTCTGATATGAGGAATATCTGGGACCAAAATGGTCTTTTAATCACGCTTCTTTTTTTTTAATATATAAGTCAAAATGAATTGTTATTAATTGTAATAAATGTAACTTTTAATACTGTTTTATAAATTTAAAAAAAAGAAATTATCCTAAATTTCATGTTTGCATCTTATTCTTTAGTCTTTTAAATGTTCAAAATTAAACAATATATTTCTGAGTTGGGATAATTCAATATACCTCCATGAATGTTAGGATATTTCTATCATATATATATATATATATATATATATATATATATATATATATATATATATATATTATTTACATTATTCGGACTATTGTCCTCATCTTTGTTGCCATATTTTTTATTACAACATTTTGGCTGTTGTATGCTCTGGCCTTCTTCAGTGGCACAGTGGATAAAGGCGTTGGTTAGATCCAGTGACAGGACCCAAAGAGTGTGAGTTCAATATCCGGTTAAGGCAGTGCTGAACTTTCAAAGGGAAATTAACAGGAGATAACTGATAACTGACATCCATTAAACATGGCACATGGAACTAGAACAGTCTACCCCAGTGAGTGAAATAAATGGTTAAGTTCGACATTCCAACAGCCTGAAGAAGGCCGGAGCGTACAACGGCCGCACGTTGTAATAAAAAATATGGTGACAAAGATGAGGGCAATAGTCCGAATAATGTAAATAATTTACATAATACCTCATCTCAGAAATATAGAGAGATAATATATATATCTATAATATTCAGACTTTTTTAAAGAATATTTCACTCAGTAATAGAAAATTATTCATGCTATGTCTTAAAGCTAGTTATTATTTAATGATAGAATTTTTCTGTTTCCTACAAAATACAGGCTTCCTTATATCTGTCAGAGATAAGGAATAATCTGGCTTAAAAACTATGCTGACCCATGACATGTTTGAAAGGGGTTTAAATTCAGTAATCTACTATAAATACTTTAAAACTGCTAATCTCATTGTCAACAATAACTCATCTGCAAGATCCAAATTAAAGAGAACCAATATTATTTACAAATTCACATGTCACTTAAGGACAAATTATAAATAATTATATTGGATATAATACAAAATGCCTAACAAGAAGACTTGCTTTACATCTCTCCGACTATAGCTCAAATAGATCTTATTTAAATACACACAGAGACCAACCAAACTTCAACTGCAACATACTTGTTGACAATACAAATACAGTAAAAAAATGTAAAAAACACATGTAAAATAAAAGTGGGTAAGAATAAAGGAACACTAAAAAAAGAAAGACCACTCAATAACAACCACAATGTGCTGACTATGTTTGGAAAATAAAACATTCCTATAACTCTAAAGACATAGATAAAACAATCCATACATTCAGTTAAAAGTAAAAAATAAAATCATCCTTGATAATGGCTAAATGTATAGCCGAAAGCACTTGCACATATGGAACATTCAGACAATTTCTTCAAAATTTATGTCCAGAAAAGAAGAAAATTATAAGAACACAAGAAAAATTAAATAAAATATTTAGCCACAATACCTTGCCAGTTGTTTTTAATGAAACTTGTATAAAAGAGAGATTACTTCCCAAAATACACAGAAATATATATATATATATATATATATATATTAGGCAGCAAATGTTCTTTAAGGCACATATTATTTAAGATAACTGACATTTTCTGTTGTTTAATTTTACTAATCAACTTTTCCAAATTACAACAATATTGTAAGCTTGCATAAAGAAAACATCATCGCATCTCACTCTGATTCTTCTGAAATTAACTTCAGAGAATTTCTGCTGGAATTTCCTCCTTTTCTTAGAAGGATCATTCATAATTTGGAAAAATCTATCAGTAAAATTAATCAACGCAAAATGCCTGTTGTCTTTAATAATATTTGCCTTAAAGAACACACACACACACATATATATATATATATATATATATATTTTAATTTTGAATCATTTCATCCTAAGAAAAGCAATAAAGCCACTAAGACACAATTGGTGACTGTGTGGTTTCTTCCCTGATCTCTACAATCTTAACTTCTTCAAGTCTAAGGTCAACCATTATCTATCCTACATATCCTCATAATCTGCTCTTACCTCTTCCTCTTACACTTGTACAACAATCGCATTCGGTAAAAGATTACAATAAGTCAGTACAATTTAAAAACAATGTCATTTGTTATCTCCTGCCCTCCTATTTACTATTGTTTGCACTTCTTAATAATGTTTCTCTTATTCTTTCACACCCGATAACCTCTTGTGTCTTAGTGGCTTTTATTCGGGTAAATTTGATTTAAAAACAGTAATTAATCTTAATCAAATTAAGATTAAATGCACACAATGTTGCCTGTTGTGATGAAAAAATTCCTTGGAACAATTCACAGCAACTTCTCTTTGGAAACTTGTCTAAAACAGTCTGTTCAAAAATTTGTCACCTTGCATTGAGTGAACGATCTATGTCATATATAAAGTTCTGTAACTTGCATTAGTCTGTCCATCACCCCCCCAATCCCCCAAAATAGTCATACATTAACTGTTTGTAAGTAAATTTTGGGGAGAAGTGCAAACAGGTAAGGGGGTACAAAGCACAGTTCGTTAGACTAGGGTGCATAACTTAGTACAATAAATTTGCATTAATTTTTTTTTTTTTTTTTTTTAAAGTTTTATTAATTCAACTTACAAAATATTCCCACTATTTTGCAAAACAATTTAATGAATAAAATAACAAATGTGTATTTAATAAAAATGTAATACTGTTTTTTTTTTTTTTTTTTTTCATATCTTTCTTTAGTTTTTATATTATGATAAAATATAATGCACAATAGTAGCACTATAAATATAAACACAGTAGGGAGAGTTTGAAATTGGCAAAGAACTGATAATTTCAACAATAGTAAATACTGTGAGGATTTTAACACGTGTCAAGCATGTGGCAAAAAAAATTCAAGTTTATGAAACACAATTACCTCATATTGTTTATATCTTATTATGTATTGTTAATATTATTAATATATCATTATATATTGTTATTTTGTATTGTTAATATTATTATTATATATTGATAATATATATATTGTTATTATGTATTGTTAATATCAATAATATATTGTTATTATGTATTGTTAGTATTATTATATATTGTTATGTATTGTTAATTATATATTACTATTAATAATATTGTTATGTATTATTAATATTAATAATATATCATATATTGTTGTTATGTATTGTTAATATTAATAATATATTGTTGTTATGTATTGTTAATTTTCAGTATTATTATATATTATTATGTATTGTTAATATTATTAATATTATATTATTATATATTGTTATCATTGATTGTTATGTATTGTTAATATTATTAATATATTATTATGTATTGTTGTTATTATGTATTGTTAATATTATTAATATTGTTATTATTATGTATTTTATTGTAAGTAAATCTAATTTTCACTTTCTTTATTATTTTTTTTTATTTTTGTCATATCAGCGAAATCCCAGTGGTGTGATCACTGTGACTTTTCGAGAACCAGAAGAAGCCGATGACTGTATTACAGCCCTTAATGGACGATGGTTTGCACAGAAACGTATCACCGCTGAGACCTGGGATGGCAAAACCAAATATGAAGTGATAGAATCTGAAGAAGAACGACAGAAACGTCTGAGCAAATGGACTGATTACCTTATGTCTGGGGAAAGCAGTGGAAGTGGTGCTGATAAAATGCCTTCGACTTTGGAAAAGGATGTGACAACCCCATTGGGTACTTCCGGGGCTGATCCCAACACGGAAGCTTTGACATTAAAAAATACTCCGACTACTTCGGATGCCGATTCCTCGACTTCTGCTGCTGCTGGTACTGATGATGATACCACTTCCTCGAAACCTTTCCCTCCAGAAGGATAATCCAAAACTAAAAAAATTCCTGATTTTTTTTTTGTTACCCCAGTAATAATGACACCATCCACTTTTTTTACCCATAAAAGAAAAAAAAAGTCGCTCACTGTTCATTTTTTTTTTAAGTCTGGTTTTTCTCTAATTAAGGAATGAGGCATTGTTGAAATTCAAGAATTCAATTTTTATTATTTTACAATAACAACGATTTGACCAAGAAAATGCTGTGTTGCCAATATCTCCTTGGAGATTCCGATTGTCTTTTTAACTGATGAACATAGCAGTAATTGGTAAATTAAATTGAATGAATATAACTTTTTTTTTTTTTTTTGCAAGTCCCATTTATTCAGTGCTGTTAGTCCTTTTTTCTTGGACATTTTCCATGTGTTATTGTGAATATGCCATCAAATCCAACGCTTTTTTTGTGCTTCTTTCTCTCCCATTTGATTGTTTGCTTTCATTGGAGTTTCAAAAGGAAACAAGAGTGAGATCCTGTGAACACAGTAGAAACATTTCCAGCATTCAGGGTTCAGATCTACCTAATTTTTAAAAGCCCTGCCCACCTCCTCATCCCAGAATCCTGAATATCTAAGGCTATCAAAAAAAAATAAAATAAAAATAAATATTTAAAAAAAAATGGTAACTTAGAAGACAAAAACTGTCTAGTGTTTTATATGTCATGAATGACCATTGCTATTGTGATTCCAAATAAGAGAAATTTGGTGACTAGTTTAACTGCCATATAGTCAGATTTTGCAGAGGTCGTACAGAAGGTAATCTTTTATATTTCAAAATTTGTCCATTTAAAAAAAATTTTTTTACCGTATTTTGCTGCTTATAAAACACATAAGATGCGTTAGACGCCACCCCTCCCTGAAAAAAGTTGGAGGAAGGAATTGGGCAAAAATATTTTTATTGTACTTCACAGACCTCCCCACTATCCCCAATTTACCCACTGACTGATCAAATTTATCAGAGACCGATAAGAAGTACCAACCAAATTTATGGTAACTATTTAGATCGGTGGTTCCCAACTGACTTTGGGCCATTCCCCACATTGGTATTTCTCCCCACTGTAATATTTAATTCTTACATATTCAAAATTTTACTGCAATTCACGTGAAGGAAACTTAAAAAGGCCATTAATTTGGTCTCTAAACAAGCCTCCAAAGACCGTGGTGTCCATGAAAGAGAAAAAATAAAAGATAAAAAGATAGTTAAATATATATAGTTCGAAAACTTATAATAGAGAAGTGAAAGGCTGAAATATAAAATATTTAAATGAAAGTTTATTCTGTAATATACTTTAATCATTTTAATCATGAAATAATAATGCAAAATTAAATTTGAGCTCACTAGAAAACAATTCACTGTTAATAACTCATTCTCGAATTGCCCCCCTTATTGGTATAGTAAGCCGAAGGGTGCACACCCTACGCATGCCTCACCAAAATATTACTATGCCCCACCGGTGAGGCATGTGCTCCACATTAAGAATCATTGATTTAGAATGTAGTAATTAGAAAAGAAGTTAGAGTGTATAATCCCACTGAAATCTAATCTTATTGCAGCCTTAAATCCTTACTAATCATGACCAATTCATCACAAATCAGCACGGAGGTTTAATTTTAAATTAAATGTAAATTTGGATACAGAAGTAAGGTTAAGTTTGATTTATGTCTAAACATACAATAGTTTCTACAGTATTACTAAACCTGTATACTGGTATTATAGTTTGAAATCTACATTATCGGTAATCTTGACAAGTTTATCCCAATTGCATAAATAGCTTCTCTTAAAATGTTGTTAATTTAATTTTGAAATGCTGAACTTGTTTTACTTTTTAAGGGCACAGAATTAGATGTAACTGGGGGCTGACACTCACCCCCAACCCAAATTTATAACTCACATCACCGACCTTTGATTTATAGGATACACTGTGTGTATATTTTTTTTTTTTTTTTTTTTAGATATTCTACAGGAAGAAAAAATGCCTCTTATAATCAGCAAAATACGGTAAACCTATTTCAGTTTCTTCTGTATCGAAATAGAGTGAGATGAATCTTGCATATATAGTCCTCATTAAAGGTCATAAGTGCATTTTTTTAAGATGAGAAAAAGCATGAAAGAACATTACGGCCTTTTTACATAATACATTTAAAAAAAAACAAAAAAACAAACTTGAGCCTTACTTTACGAAAAGTCTTTGTATCAGAATATTTTTGTTCTTTTAGAGATCCATTTGCTCATTTAGAAATTGGAAAAAAAATACAAAATAGGTGTGTGTCAATTAGTTCCCCTTTAGAATCACACCGAGAACATATTGAATGATATCAGATGTGGAAGGGCTGAAAAAGAGTGCAGTACTCGAAGCATCAAGAAGATGAGTGTACAACTCTGGGTGAAAACTTGAATCTGATTTTAAAAAGAAAAAAAATCTTTTAAACCTTTCAACTTTGCTTTACTTTATTAATTTCTTTCAGAAAATCAAAAACAGTCTTAGACATTTTACCTCCTTTTCTGCACTGACAGACATTCTTATGACATAGGTACATTGAGCTTATTTATTAATTACATAGGATTAAGCAGACATTATTATTTACAATGGTATTAATATCCTTATTTTTATTGTTATTATTACATTTTGTCTGTTATACTCTCTGGCCTTCTTCAACACTGCAAAGCTCAATGGCCAAAAAGTTTTGATAACAACAAAGATGAGGATGCTAGTCCAAATGAAAATGTAAATAATGCCTCTTATAATCAGCAAAATATGGTAAACTCTTCTTCCTAGAAATTCAGACAGAAAGCAAGTAGATATGTATAGATATCATATGAGATATATTTGATAGGATAAGGAACAAATAGGTAACATTTATCAATGTTTTGCTTTTATTTAAGCTTCATCAGAAAATGAAATATGGAGATGTAAAGCATTTTCTAATGAAGCTTAAATAACATTGAAACATTACATTTATAAATTATTTCCTATTTGTTCCTTATCCCATCATTCTGCTAGATTTTGATCTATATTTGATACCAATTCATATATATATATATATATATATATATATATATATATATATATATATATAAAAAAAAAAGAAAGAACAGATTTATAATTCAGTTCTTTTACATTTATTTTTAAAACAGTGCTTGATACACGTGGCCTGACGATTGCATCTAGCATGAAACAGTCTGTTGTTTCTGAGTGTTGACTTCAATGTTCACTTTTATATTTACACTCACTCTATCTCTGATATTGAATACTTTATCCCATAAATATAGCACACCTTAAAACTATGTCTTCATATACACACACACAGACATATATATATATATATATATATATATATATATATATATATATTCATCTCTATTAATATTAGTTTGTTTATGTAAGGTCTATCACTGATATTGAGCACTTTCCAATAAGTACTGCGCATATAAAATAATATATATTGAATATATATATATATATATATATATATATATATATACACACACACATACTGTCTCTTTCTCATCTATGGATTTGGATATCTTAATATTCACAAATAATATTCCAACTGATATCTGCTTCCTTGAATTTTTCTGTCAAAAAATAAATTATGTTTATTTTTACAAATCAAATTAGATTAACGTAGTGTAGGCCAAAGGACAACTGTGGAGCATTCAGTAAAGATCTGTGAGACCAACTTACTGATGATTATGCCACAAGGAGATATATTAATTGAAACTCTGCTACAATTACAAGCTCAATTATACCACAGTTACTATAAGTGAAGTATATATCTGTACATTCAGGTTATGGACATGTTACTCAGAGATTTCTGGATAAGAATTCATGATTTGTTAAATGATCATTTTAACATTATATATCATTTTTATTTTAATTCTAGATGGGCTGCATTACATTGAAACATTGGTTCCCATACAGTCACTGAAGTTAAGCAATATCGAACCTGGTCACTACCTAGATGAATGACCACCTGTGAATACCAGATACTGTCAGCTTGGATGTGCAGATGGTATAATGGAATTCTAAATAGGAGAGCTGAGTTCAAATTCCAGTTGGGTTCATTATATTCACTTACGTGCGATTACTTTTGGGAAAGGTATCCACCCACCTCTTTTTTGGGGGTTAATTAGTAAGACTTGTATCACTAAAACCAATTATTATCTCAAAATAAAAAATTTGCTTACAAAATATTTAGATTTTGGCATTAAATAATCCATAGAGGTGTTGATATGCTGTTAAACAAAAACAACCAGCTCAGCCATTTAATTCTAGATATAAGTAGTAAAAAAAAACATTGCAGTTTTGTGGCGGGGGGGGGGGGTCAAGAAATGTTGAAGCCTCGATTAGAAATATCAATCTGTTCATTGGCAGAATATATCTCAATTACTAACTTGAGTGACTTTTCTGCTGAAAACTGAACATCTCATTGCTAAAACAAGGATATCAAGCCATGTGTATAATCTATATATATAAAGCTGTAGCCTCTGTCTGTTATCAAACTCCTCCTAGGGTTTTAAAGATAGACCCCAACCACATAACCATTTATATTCCGAAACATTACTTGGGTTACATGGATAAACCTCTTGCCGTTTCTGAGACTAATTCTCTTTATGACAATAATGTAAGAATTTTCCTTTTTGCAGGCTGTTATCTATTGCACTATAGCACACATCCCCTGCCAATAATATTAAATTAAAAAAAAAGAAAAAAAAAAAAAGAATTAAATTTTCTTATATAGTTTACTATGCTTGTTCTTTATCCCCAAAAGAGTCGAAAATATGAAATTTACAAATCAGGAGTTTTCTTTTGATTTCTTGATACTGTTGTGTACATTTGTTTGGGAGACTAGTAATTCTGTTAGGAAAGGTGAAATAAGGGAAAAATCCGTCAACACAACAATAAAAACAATATTTCCACACGTGACAGTACTTGACGTAATTTTCAGTTGACAATATGAATATAATAGTGTTTTCTAAATTCTTCCAGTTGC